CTGTTGTGGTGGCTTCAAAAGAAGAACATATTTTGCAGCTTTACACTGGGAGAAGTACCATGGGTTATTCTAACAGATACCAGACACTGGTGTACGCACAAAGGAAATGGACATTTACAGCAGAAAAATTCCCAGCAAACTTTATCAAGCTCATGGCAGTCTTCTAGGCCCTGAAGGTGTTATATTCTCACCTCCTCCACCAGTCTGGGTTGATAATGCTACAGTTGTAGGATGTGTAGCATATATAAATCATCAAGCAGGAACTAGTAGCTGAAGAATGATGAAAACCCTGAAATATCTGGTGTCCTGGGCTAAACAGAATCTAATGGGTCTGGTAGCTATCCATTTACTGAGTCCAGAAAACACAGTGGCAGACTACCTCAGAAGAATGCAAATAGTTCCATGAGAATGGTCACTGTCAGAAACAATCTTACAGGAACTGGTTGTCAAATGGAGCCTGCCACAAGAACATCTAATGGCAAGTTGCATGAACAATAATGTATCCAAGTTTTTTTCCCAAGAGCTATGATCCCCAAGCCATGAGGAAAGATGTGGTCTCCAGCAGGTGGGACTTGAACATCAGATATGTCGCCCAATTCCTATTCCAGCTTCTGAGAAGGATATGACAGGAGATTCTCATTGTCTTATTCTGGCTCCACAGACCATGGTTACCCCTGCTCCTGAGTCTATGTAAAGAACCAACTTAGGAACTCACAGAGATTCAAACTCTTCTCCACCAAGGTCCAGTAATGCATCCATACTCTCTGTCCCTCAATCTGAGAGCAGAGCGGTTAAAAGGGAAATGTTAAACAGTAGGGAATTTTCTTCAGCACTTATTAACACCCTACTGCATTCCAGGAAGCATTCCACATTAGCCACCTATTAATGTGTTTGGGATGCTTTTACAATTTGGCTTTTTTCAAGGAGGTCAATATCCAGAATCCACCCATGATAGACATTATTGATTTTCTTCAGTCAGGTTTGGACAAGGGTCTGAGTTAAATGCCTTGAAATTTCTGTGCCTTTTCATAAATGGGCTTTTGACATGGATTTATCCATGTTTCTTACTGCTTTATACAAAATCCATCCTCTTATCAAGTCTGTGTCCAGGGCCGGACTGGGGATACAAAGCAGCCCTGGAAAAAAAATTTGTGCCAGCCCCATAAGTCACTGTGCCATATATTGTCGCGTGTAATATGTAAGGCTATGTCTTGCCAGAACAGATGATTGAGTTTTATATATATATATATATATATATATATATATATTGCTTTTTCTAATATAAAATATTGGTCCTTTCAGGGTAAAACGTTTAATTATACAGTAAGCATACTCACATGCAGACACAGGCAATTTCACTGACATTTCAATGACACACACAAGCTCATTGATACACAGCCTCATAGACAAACAATCTTACTGATATACATCAGCTCATTGACATAAAAACACAAGCTCACTCACTAGCAGGCACACGCATGCAAGCAAGCTCACTCACTAGCAGACGCACACACACAGCTTAATGTGGTGGTACTGGTGTCTATAGCATGTCCCTACAGGCTTTTCAACGTAAACACTGACTTTTCAGAGAAAAGGCAGTGTTTACATTGCTTCAAAGTGACACTGCTAGTGACAGTCACTCAGACGGTCACTAGAGGTGCTTCCTGTGTTAGTGCACCTACATTCAGGGCCTCCACACTCTGTAGGTGCTGAACGTTCCCCATAGAGATACATTGATTCAATGCATCTCTATGAGGAGATGCTGATTGGAGTGGCGTTTTGCAGCCAATCCTATGGCAAAGCATTGGATTGGCTGAGATCATCAAGCTTGATGATCTCAGCTATAGAGGCAGGGCCAGTCGAGGGGAGACCAGCACGCTGCGTGGGGAAAAAAAAGGTGAGCAAAAACACTATTTTTAAACACACATTTACACCATGACAGACACAGAAACACACATATACCATGACAAATACACACCCCATGACAGACACACACCATGACAGACCATGACACAGACAGACACACACCATGACACAGACAGACACAGACCATGACGGACAGACAGACACACACACCCCATGATGGACAGACAGACACACACCCCATGAATGACAGACAGACACACACACACACACACACCCCATGACGGACAGACACACACACACACCCCATGACGGACAGAGACACACACACACACCCCATGACGGACAGACACACACACACACCATACAGACAGACAGACACCATGACACAGACAGACACACACACACACACCATACAGACAGACACCATGACACAGACAGACACACACACACACACACACCATACAGACAGACAGACACCATTACACAGACAGACAGACACACACCATGACACAGACAGACATGATAACACAGACAGACACATTACTAATACCTGCCAGGGGGAGGTCTTCTGGGGGCCGCTGGGGAGGTCTTCTGGCGGCCGCTTGGGGACTTGTCCTGGGGAAGCTGCGCTGGCTCTGCTCTCCCGCCCTCGCGCGCTGCTGAATGAGACCGGCGCCGGAATATGACGTCATATTCCGGCGCGGGTCTCATTCAGCTGCGCACTGTGGAGCAGAGCCAGCGCAGCTCCCCCCAGCGGCCACCAGGACAAGTCCCCCAGCGGCCGCCAGAAGACCTCCCCAGCGGCCGACAGCAGACCTAGGTGTCTGCCCGGCCCCAGGTGCCGACGGCCCACCGGGAAATTTCCTGGTATCCCGGTGGGCCAGTCCGGCCCTGTCTGTGTCTCCTCCATTTTACCTTCCTCTAGTTGGAATCTTTACATTTTGAACCACTGGATGCTATTTCCACGATCTTCCTTACTATAAAGTAGGTTATATTGGTGACCTTGGCTTTGGGAGGAGAATGCCAGAACTTCAGGCATTGTCAGTAGAGGAACCTTTTACAGTTTTTCATCAAGTCATAGTTAGAACTGTTCCAGAATTCTGATAAAAGATGTAAAGAGTGTTGCCAGTCTTGTGCTCATCCCAATAGGAAGAAGATGAAGAACTTGACCCTTGACTTGGTCAGGTGTTTCAGGTTTTATATTAATAGATCTTCTTCATGGTGTTCTACTACCAGACTATTTGGCATTCATTCTAAATGGAGACCGGCAAGGCCTACAAACTCTGTAATGTGGCTAAAGGTAGATGTATTGTTTGTGTGTCTGTGTATCAAGCTTTCAAATTCCAGTTCCTAAAGGATTTAAAGCCCATTCTATGAGATCCGTTTCAGCTCCATGGGCAGCAGCTGCCAAGATCCCACCCCCCCGACAGCTGTAAAACTGCCAGATAGCCATCCATTAACACTTTTGTTAAACATAATCATTTAGATGTTATAACCTCACAGTATGATGATTTGGCAAATGTTTATGTTTTTGGTAAATTTTTGGTAATGTTTGTTCACTACTAGAGTTGAGGGAACCCGGACTGTAAAGTTCGGGTTCGTACCGAACATTATGTTTTTTGGACCCCGGATCTGAACACAGGCATATCAGTGTATGTTCGGGTTGGAGTTCGGTGTTCGGCGATTTATTGGCACGTTTTGAAAGGCTGCAGGGCAGCCAATCAACAAGCGTTTGACTTGTGTGCCCTTAGAAGCCATCACAGCCATGCCTACTAATGGCATGGCTGTGATTGGCCAGTGCAGCATTTGACCCAGACTCTATATATAAGCTGGAGTCGCATAGCGCCGCACGCATGTGAGCTTTTATTAGTGTAGGGAGAGGATGCTGCAGCTGTGAGGGACAGATTAGGAAAGAATTCTGGTGTTGAATCTGCAAACTACAGCGATTATTCAAACTACAGCGATTATTTTTGTTGGTGCTATAATACTACATTTTTGTACCCTTCCCTGAGCCCAGTGCCACAGAGTGCAGTGCACTTGCAACTGCATGTGTGCCGGGCACATTTCTTTAATCCTGTTCTGGTAGCTCAGTGGGCAACATCTAGGCATTTTTAAATACAGCAATTTTTTTTTTGGGTGTTATATAGTACATTTGTGTACTGCATTTCATGCAGTCCAATAAACCCTTAAATACTACTGTTACATTGATGGTTTAAAAAAAAATCTAACTTTTTGGTGTTAAATAGTACATTTGCGGCCTGCGTTGCACTTCATATCTGAGAGTCTTCTAGAACTGTCAAATACTGTGCTTACATTGCAGTTTTAAACATTCAAATTATTTAGGTGCTAAAAAGTCAATTTGGTGCCTGCAGTTCATATCTGAGAGTCAAAAAAGAACCGTCAAATAGTGTGCTTACAGCTCATTTTTAAACATTCAAATTCTTTAGGTACTAAAAAGTGAATTTGGTGCCTGTAGGTCATATCTGAGAGTCAAATAGAACCGTCAAATACTGTTCTTACAGCGCAATTTTAAACAATGACACAACTACAAAGTTAAAAACCAAACACCAAAACAACGTGGAATGAAGGTCATGCAAGTGGAGGAAGAGGCGCTGGTCGCACAGAGGCACCAGCACAGCATAAGAGTGAGCAGGGTGCAAAAGCGGAGGGGCGGTCCCCTAGCGCTCATCGGCATGTATTTTCTTTAGAATTCCCACAGTTATCCAAGCAGCAGATGGAGCATAACAGATTTAACGAGCCATTCGCAGTTTCACAGTCAGGGGGGCAGTCCGGTGACCGGGTCCAAGACACGGTCTGGGCAGCAGTCGGACGACTGGGACCCAGTATGCCTGATGTTGAAGTTAGGAGTCACAGTGTGGAATGGATTAGCAGGGTCTGGTGCAGGGTAACCGCACGCCCCCTGGTGTTGAGCACCAGTGTTTGTGCAGCCACATATCAGGACCCTGATGCAGCTTCAGCGAGCAGCAGCAGGCGATAGTGGAGTTTCAGCTGCAGCACGCACGGGTCAGTCGCTCTGCACCAGACTTGCCCTCCAATTAATCCAAGTTAAAGGATTTAAAGTGGACTCATTACAATTACAGGGCCTCGAAAGAGTAGTGTATTGTTATTTGTCATCACTACCTCCCCGCATCAGGAGTGGGTAATGTGCGCGCCTGCTGCCTTCCTTGCATGTGGTAGCCGTTTCTCAGGCTCCCTCTGTGGAATCGAACCCTGATTCCTTGTTACCCATGGTCACCATGGTAGGCGCGGAAAATTACATCAAAAGTTGATAGGACAGACATCCGAATGCGTTGTCGCTGTCACAGGGACGTGCGATCGTCACGAGGATATCATAGACAAGCGCAGCCGCCTGTCCACTGCCAACATGGACAAGCTTGCGTTTATTAAAATGAACCATGCATGGATCCCACCAGACTTGTCTGTACCTTGTGCAGAATAGACATTTATACCGGCCTCACCTAGCCATTGTTATACTCAAGTGCATTTATTCTTTTTTTTCTTTTTTTTATATATCCCAATATTTTGGGGGCTATCCCAATATAAAAAAAAATAATAATAAAAAAAAACAATGATGGCTACCTCCTCCACCGACGCCTCTTCTACCTACACCGCCACGGTGTATACCCAGATATATCAGACTGCTGCAGAAAGTGCGGGCGCTTTTGGCGTTCTCACCCTGCTGCTGCTCGCCTGTCTGTGCTGCAGCATAACATCGGCCTTCCCGCTCACCGCCTAATATGCGACGTGCCCACAATGTGGAACTCCACCTTGCACATGCTGGAGAGACTGTGCGAGCAGCAGCAGGCGATAGTGGAGTTTTAGCTGCAGCACGCACGGGTCCATCGCTCTGCGGAACAGCACCACTTCACCACTAATGAGTGGGCCTCCATGCGAGACCTGTGTGCCATGTTGTGCTGTTTTGAGGACTCCACCAACATGGCCAGTGCCGCTGACGCCGTTCTCAGCCTTACTATCCCCCTTCTATGTCTCCTTGAAAATATGCTTTGGGCGATGATGGAAGAGGATGTGGCACAGGAGGAAGAGGAGAAGGAAGAGAGATCATTTCCACAGTTATCAGGCCAGTCATTCACAAGTGGCTCGGAGGGTGGGTTCCTGCACCAGCATAGGCCAGGTACACAATTGTCCAGCATCTCCACACTGTCCCATGGAAGCATTCAGCTGTCCATCTCCCAAACACTGGAGAGAAATAGGAAGTACCCCCCCTACCCACCCGCGATCCCTGGCCCTGAATGCCAGCATTTCAAAATTCCTGGCCTTTGAACTGCTGTTATTCCATCTAGTGGAGACGGACAGCTTTAAAAACCTGATGGCGTTATTGGACTGCAAGAAATGCACCGCAGACCGCAAATGTTTCTTTTTTTATATGTCCCAATATTTTGGGGGCTACCCCAATAAAAAATAAATAAATAAAACAGTGTTGGCTACCTCCTCCGCCTCCTCAACCTCCTACTCCACATCCACCTCCTCCTCCTAGAGCAGGGTGCAAAAGCAGAGCGGCCGTCCCCTAGACAGCACGCCTGCTACTGCCCACCGCACCCAGTGACCGAGCACACCAAAGCCAGCTCCAAGGAATCCCCTGGCGTGGCAGTTCTTCAGACATTGTGCTGATGACAAGACACTAGTGGTTTGCACGCTGTGCAATCAGAGCCTGAAGCGAGGCATAAACGTGCTAAACCTGAGCACAACCTGCATGAACAGGCATCTACATGCAAAGCACGAGCTGCAGTGGAGTAAGCACCTCAAAAACCAAGAAAGGTCTCAGGCTCCTCCTGCTTCCTCTTCTGCTGCTGTTTCGGCCTCTTCCTCCACCTCTGGAGTGACAGTGGCACCAGCCACCCTGCAAAAAGAGGATGTGGCAGCAACGTCACCACGTCCGCCACCGTCCCCAAGCATCTCCACACAGTCCCATTGAAGCGTTCAGCTGTCCATCTCCCAAACACTGGAGAGAAAGAGGAAGTACCCCCTACCCACCCGCGATCCCTGGCCCTGAATGACAGCATTTCAAAATTCCTGGCCTTTGAAATGCTGTCATTCCATCTGGTGGAGATGGACAGTTTTAAATACCTGATATTGGACTGCAAAAAATGCACCGCAGGTTTCTTTTTTTTTTATATGTCCCAATATTTTGGGGGCTACCCCAATTAAAAAACAAACAAATAAAAAAACGTGTTGGCTACCTACTCCTCCACCGCTGCTTCCACCTACTATAGTATAAACTATGTACACAATAGCAGAGGCTTGTGAAGGCCTTTTTTTCCATGCATCAGGAGTTGAGCTCAGTTTGAACAATGAAAGAGAATACCCTGCACTCCGACCCTCTCTCAAATGGATAATTCTGGTGATCCTCCTGACAGTCATGCTTTAGATTTTGATTTATGTTCTTCCAAAGCTGAAATCAAAGATTCCATCTAGTGCTATTTTATGGCTCAGCTGTATTTTAATTTTTTATGTATTTTATGTTATTTTAAGTGATTTCCCTATCCACATTTGTTTGCAGGGCACTTGTCCTACTCTTATCCCCATTTTACTTCCTTTTGCAGCCCTCTAGCTCTTTCCAGGACTTTTTAGAGCCATTTTTGTGCCCAAAAGTTTGGGTCCCCATTGACTTCGATTGGGTTCGGGGTCAAGTTCGAGCCAGAACCCGGACTTTTTTCCGAAGTTCGGCTGAACCCGCCGGACCTGAACATTCAGGTATCTGCTCAACTCTATTCACTACTGATATTTTTTTTCCTACAAAATACAATAATTTGCATGTATTTGGTCTCTGTTTTCTTTTCTCCCTCTCTTAGATATTGTGTGGGTATTATCGATTATTGTGCTGTCATGGATATTGTTAAAAAGAAGGCAAATGTGTTCCTATTTACTCTTTAGTAAATATGATAATTACCATTGTGGTCAGAATCTTGCCAAAATCTTGTGGACTTTGTCTATCCGGAATAACATTGGTGTTTAGTGAATAACCTTGAATGTTTCTGTTCTACTCCTCCTTCCGAGTGTAAGGCTATGCTGGAATTAACAAAATTTTGATGTCACTTAGTAAATCTTTAACGTCAATTAAAAGAGAAATAGCTCAGCATGTTACATAGGCTGAAAATAGGCATGCGTCCATGAAGTTCATCCTTTCTCAAATCTGTATTTGTTGTTGGTTCAAAAGAAGACAAAAACCGCAGTTTGAAGCACTTTCCAATTTGGCAATGAACTAGGAAAAAAATATCCCTCTTGACCCAGAATGGCTCTTACCCCACCTATTAAAAATGATATCCCTGCATATTATGTTTTTACAAGTTTTCCTCCAGTAGCTGTTTAAACATCTGTACATACTCTGATAAAACTAAATTTTCAGGCCAAGAAATTCCACTTCCTTAATGTTTATACTGTTAAAAATACTTACCTTTTGTTTAGACTTTTGTGTAACCTTGTAACTATTTATAGTCCTTGTGGTGGTATACCCACAAGTCATTGGGTTGTAACCACCAAGTGCCCTTTCTCTGGTGTGTTTATAGCTGAGCGTGATTATAGCCTTTCACTGTGGTATATTGCTGTCTCACCAGAACACTAGTCAATACTGAATGAAGGGTGAAGAACAACTGAGTTTATTGGGACAAAGCACAGGAATTTATACATAGACCCCCAGCATGGGGTCTCTATTCAGAATAACACAAGCCCACCCAGACGCCTTTGTGTCTGGGAGATAATTGAGTCAGCTCTAGGTTGAACTTATTATCATCTGGACACAGAAAGTGCAATATAGGAATTCCCCCATAACAGATATCATATAACGAAGCACTGCCACGTCATACATCCCCAGGTCTCTCTGGAGTCCCCATTCTGTCCAAAAATACCCAGACCAGATAGGGCTAGCCCGAATTAGATGGAAGTCCAAATTTCAGCAGGAAGCTGGGTAGAGATCCCCGGCAGTGGCGTACTAAGGGGGCGGTCCGCCCCGGGTGCCACCAGGGTCGGGGGTGCCATGACCAGCCCCGCCGGCCCCCCCATGCTGCAGCCGCCCGAGTGCTCTGTAGAGAGCCTCAGGCGGCTGCAGCTTTGCCCGGGCGGTGCGTCCATGAGGGGGCACCGGACCGCACCGCCCGGGCGCAGCCTGAGAAAGGGGGCTGACAGGAGGGAAGCGCTCAGCGCTCCCTCCTGTCACTCCGTCTGTAGTAGCGTGGCTGAGCCCTGCAGCATGATGGTCCGACGGGTACAGAGAGCAGCTGTCTCCTGTACCCGGCCGGACTAACAGGAAGTGCACACTGAGTGTGCACTTCCTGTTAGTCCGGCCAGGTACAGGAAACAAAAGCTCCCTGTACCCGCGGACTATACTGGGCTCGGCCTCGCTACAG